CCCCCCTCACCAACTGTAAATTCAGGTAAACTGAAGTTCTGCTGACATTGTTTTCACTGCATCTCATAGGCCCTTGGTTGCTGGGACACAGAAAAGAAAGGAACGCTAGTTGAGAATGCATCAAATGAAGAAGTGCAAAAGAATTCAGATGTAGCTAAAACTTCCTGAAGCCTTTAGTTGGTAACATTTCTTTACTGAAAGAGTGGTTAAACATTGGAACAGGCTGCCCAGGGAAGTGGTTGAGTCACCATCCCTGGAAGTATTTAAAAGACGTGTAGATGTGGCACTTGGGGACATGGTTTAGTGGGCATGGTGGTGTTGGGTCGGTGGTTGGACTCGATCTTGGAGGTCTTTTCCAACCTTAATGATTCTATGATTTAGATGAAATAGTCTAAAATCATAGGGAGGATATTTTCTTAAAGGTGAATTCACAAGTGAATTTCATGGGCAGTAGAAATGAAGGGAAAAGAGTGGCCGGAGAGGTGTCCTGGAATCTAACAAAACCAAAAGCTTCTCTTTTCCATTTATTCCTTTGCCTGAGTCTCCCTATTCTTTCTTTGTCCTCAAGTTTTAAATTCAGTTAACAGTACAGACATAACATTTCTGGGAAATCCCAAACCTCTCCAGTCACTGATAACTTTGAAATGCTTTATGCTGAAGAAAGGAAGTTTTCACAACTATTAAATCTGTTCTGAACAGGATACAGCAAAGTACAGTTAAACCAAATGCAAGATACTAGAAAGAGTATTATTCCATTATTCCCATTTATATTCATAAACAAAAAGATGTCTAACCTGGAACAGACATTTAGGATTATACTGAGTTGGAATATTTACTACAAAAACATTTAGAAGTGAACTCTATATAAGGAAAATATTTGTATACTTCTTGTAGGCTACAGAGTACTGTTTTCCTAGGGACAATAAATGCAGTAATTTACACTTGAGTTTAGTCAAACTAGCACCTTGTCAAGCAAATGTTCCCTGCATTGGTCTTTCTTCAGTGTAGTTGCATGACCATTAAAATTCTAGGATACTTTCTGGAGCTAACAATCAAACCCCAAGACTATTCCAAGGCTGCCTACTCAGTTTTTTAATAAAAATCTCTGTTATATCAGCTGTACAATTGCTGCATGTGCTGGGTGCAAAGCTTGGAAACTCTCAATCGTCACAAAAAGGTTATGAAATTATTGCAGTCTAAAAAGGACCTTTCAAAAGCCTTGCTATCAACTAGCATTAGGTTTACAGAACAGTTATGTAGATGTCTGAGTGGATATAATAATTTCTTTT